GGCAGCATCAGCAATGAGGCTCTGGGCATGAGCTGCCCAGTTCCCACCAGCTGCCCGTTCCCCAGCACCGAATGGTGCCAGCAGTGACACCTCTGCCGTTGCCCAGGTGAAGCGTCGCTCTAAGCGGGGACAGGTGGGCGTAGTGCAAGTCGGTGTGGAGACCTATGGAGGGGGCATCTGGAACACCTGGTTTGACCGTGACCTCACCGTGGCCGGGAGGGTGATCATAAAGGTGAGTCTTGTTTAGAGCATGCATGGTCGGATAGTTGTGTGTCTCTGGCACTGGGTCGCTGGCCCCTACACAGAGAGGGACCTGCTGCAACCTCTCAGCTCTGCAGGCCTGGTGCCAGAAGTCCTCCTTGTGTTTCAGGACCAAGCCACGGGGCGCCTGGAGCAGCGCCTGGTGCGTGTGGAGCGGCCCATCCTCCGCATTCCTCACCTGGCCATCCATCTGCAGCGCAGCATCAATGAGAACTTCGGGCCCAACACCGAGCACCACCTGTAAGGCCTGGCTCAGCCCTGACTCCTGGCCAGTCTTGGGAGGGCTGGGACCCAGCTAAAGCAGAGCCCCACCTTAGCTCTCCCTTTGGCAGCCAATCATTGCAGTGGGGAGATCTGCAATGGCTTTTAACCCCATGGAGTACTTCCAAGAGATGCTTTCAAGCATAGGATTTGGGAAAGGACACTTGTCCTGACAATAGATTTGTGGCACAATAGATTTGTGCTTAAAATGTGTATTCTTCCTCCATTTGGCATATCAGTCATTCCCTGGAGGTGCAAGGCAAACATGCCAGGAAGGGTTGGCTGTGTGACCCATCAGGTCAGAGCAAAGCTCTGGGAGCTAATGTTGCTGATCCCCACAGGGTTCCCATTCTGGCCACTGCAGTGCAGGAGGAGCTGGAAAAGGAGGTGCTTATGGAGTCCACACCTTGCAGTACTGCAGCCCAGGTGAGCTGTGTGCCAAGGATCAGCAGCAACGCTTGCAAGGACCTCATACTAGTCACCTTTGATTTTGAGTCCTCGGGCACTTGCCACCAGGTTCCCCTTCTCCCTGTGGACTGCTGGCAACCTTCCACTCCTCTTCCTCACAGCTGTGTACATGGCACTTCTGTTCAGCCATCTCTTCTCACCCTTGCCTGCAGCCAGTGTGGAAGCGGTGCATCTCCCTGAGGAGGCAGGGCAGGGACGGGGGGCTAGCACAGGGGTATAGAGCTGTCCTGGGTGAGGTGGGGGCTTGAACGTGGGAGATGTTAGTAGGAGAGAGGACTCTGCCAACATAAGCAGGGTCAGGGACAGCTTTGCAAAGGGAAACCAGGCATTTCTCCTGCCATCCACTGCCTGCTCTGCCCACAGCTCTGCTTTCTTCCCAGGCAGAGCGGCACAGCCCTGTTCTGCTTTCCCTGATCTGCCCCCAGCTGGGGGTGAAACCAGAGCAGATTGTGGAGCTGGAACTATGCCTGGCAGATACGCAGCCAGCGGTGAGTAAGGGCAGGAGCCTCCCTCTGTCTGCCCACAGCCTACAGGCTGGCACTACACAAGTGTTACCTGGCACATGTCCTTTGCTTGGGGCATGCCCAGGCTGGGAGCTGAATGGAACTAGAGGGAGCTGCTCCTAAGAGGCAGAAATAAGGGTACTGGAATGAGAACCCAGTGGCAGGTACTTTTTGGTGACCCAGAGCCTGTGCTCTACTCCTCTTGGCTCTCTGCAGACGCTGGGTGGTGCCTTTGATGAGTTCATCTTCTCCCCACGTCTGGACAACCTGCACAGCTGCTACTGCGCCTTGCAGGTGAGAGGGGAAAGAATCTGGAGTGCACCCAGCTCAGCTTTGGGCTGGCCAAAGGTTCTGCAGGGGGTCGTGTTCTCATGGAATGGGTGGGTCTAGATTGTTGGAGGACCTGGGGTTGGATGCCCCCTTTGCTGGGTGTGTGGGATTCCCAGCAGCTCCCAGGGGTGACTCCTGCTGTTGCTGGGCAATGTCTGTGCCCACAGCTCCCTTTCTCCATGCTTCGGGCTCTCCTGGGGGATTTCCTGATGGCTCAGTCCTGAGATTCCCAGGATGGAGTAGCACTCAGGGTGATGTCCATTCCCCCCTAATCCTGCAGGCCTTGATTGACTCATGTGCAGCACCGTCGTCCCTTTCCCAGGAGCCCAATGTGCGTCTCATCGCACTCTATGACAACGAGGAGGTGAGCAAGGGGCACAGCTTTGGGGTGGCTGGCACCAGAAGGGGCTTTGTGTTCTTTGCTCTTCCCCAGCCATGCCTAACAGGAGAGAAATTCCACACCCCAGTGGAGAAAGCAGGGATTTGCTTACACCCACATGGAACGTGGCCCAGGCAGGGGTGGGAAGCACTGGTGTGGCAGGGAGCTGCTTTGCTGGCCTTAGGGAGCAGCCTGTCACTCCTCTGGCCCCTGTGGTGCTGCGGGGCTGTGCTGATGGTGATCCTTGGCAGGTAGGGTCAGAGAGTGCACAGGGCGCAGAGTCCTTGCTAACGGAGCTGGTGCTGCGCCGGATCTCTGCATCGCCACACAACCTGACAGCCTTCGAGGAGGCAGTGGCCAAGTCCTACATGATCAGTGCTGACATGGCCCACGCTGTGCACCCCAACTATGTGTGAGTAGTCTGGGCCATGCCACAGGCCTGACCCTACCCCTGCCCTGCCACCTGTGGGACGTATCCCCTTCACTCCCCAGGTAGTACAGACAGGACAGTCCTTGTTGCAGCAGGGAGGGAAGACAGCAGTGTGAAACTCTTACTTCTCTTTTGCAGGGACAAGCATGAGGAGAATCATCGTCCAGCCTTCCACAAGGTGAGGGCAGCCCTCTGCTTTGGTCTCGGAGGGTTGCAGTCTGTCCTGTAGCGCTGTGGATTGCCTAGAATTCAAATGGAAAACGTTTATCCTGCAATGGAATTTGACTATGCCACATGTCTGATGTTAATCACTTGGGATCCCAGTCTTGTCCATAGAGCTCCTCTCTGCTCTGAGCTAGGGCTGTCCCCATGGAAACACTGTCCCCATCCCCATGGGCTCACCCAGGAGAGGGAGAATGGACTGATATATTGGGGTGGTACAGCATTGCCTGGGCATGGGTGTTTCCAGGGCCACTGACTATTCCTGGGTCCCATCACGGGCCTGCGGTGCCTCCTTTGTGCAGGGCCCTGTCATCAAAGTGAACAGCAACCAGCGCTATGCCTCCACAGCTGTCACTGAAGCCGTGATCCGGGACATTGCTGCCCGCGTGGGTGTCCCACTGCAGGTGAGCGGGGCTGGGTGAGCCCTCCTTGAACATCAGGAGTTTGGGCTGCAGCCCTGCCCCTGGGTTCATCAGTGCCAAAGCTCTGTTACTGTGTCTGACCCCACTGGGGTCTCTGTGCTGCCTGCTGCTCTGAGGCTCCAGCTGCAGGACTGCCTCAGAGAGCAGGCTGGTGAGTGTGTCCTGAGTGTGTCCTATCTCTGGAGCTTTTTTTGAACCCTGACATGGGTTGGTGCTGCTTCCCTGCTCCAGGTCGCCTCCCTTCGGGCTGAGGGCCCATGTGGAAGGCCATGGGGTAGCATGTGAAGCTGCTGAGGTCTTGCCTCCATGCAGGAGTTCATGGTGCGCAACGACACACCCTGCGGCACCACCATCGGCCCCATTCTGGCCTCCCGCCTGGGGCTGCGTGTGCTGGACATTGGCTGCCCGCAGCTGGCCATGCATTCCATCCGGGAGATGTGCTGCACCTCAGGGGTGCTTCAGAGCATCACCCTCTTCAAGGTGAGCCCTGTGTCCCCCATCCTGTGCTAAGGCTCATTCCCTGCTGCTCTACATCTCCCACGTCCTCATGTCCCCACCCAATCCCTGCTTTGGGGCTGATCCCAGCCATCCCACAGAGCTCCCCAGCTCCAGAGCAGCTCAGGTACTGGCTGCTTCCGGAGGTGCCCCCCTCTCATCCCAGCCTTCCCCAGTGACTGCCATACCTAAGTAGTTCCTATGGCAACCGGTGCTAGCCTTGAGTCAGCGATGGGTTACTATGGTGACGTGGTCCTGCTCTCTGCAAGTAGCTGCCTACCATGACGCTGTGACAGGGAGCTGCTGCCTGCCCCCACTGCCTTTCCCCCCACCCCACCCTGCCTTGCTCAGCCCACCCTGACAGCCTCTCTTCTTCCAGGGCTTCTTCGAGCTCCTGCCGACAGTCAGCAGCAGCCTGGTGGTCGACTGAACATGGCGAGGAAGGAGTAGCAGTGGGTTTACTCCTGGGGCCATTAAAGCATTTCTGTTTTACCAGCGAGTGGTCCATGACTGTGGCTGGGGCTGACGTACATGGCTCCCTCTGGGGACTCCCATGGCTCCTACTTGTGCTCTCCCCTGGAACCATGAGCGAGACCTATTCACCCATCCACAATCCCTTGTCGAGGGGTGCTGGTGGTCCCAGCTAAGGTGCCAAACAGGGCCCGGCTCTTGGCCAGGGAGAGCTGGCGGGAGGATGTCCGTGTCTCGTGCAGCGCTGGGGCCCTCCCTTTCCCCAGGAACGAGCCTGCGGTGTGCGCAGGGATCTGCCGGCGCCAGCCTGAAGCTGCTGGCCGGGCCGGGAGGGGTTCGTGCCCGGGCCGGGGGCTGCCCCTGCCCGCGGGCGGTGCCGCCGGGCGGGGTACGAGGGTGCGGCTCCGTGCTCGCCGCTCATTGGGCGGCGCTCGGGGGCGTGTCCCACGCGGGAGCCAGTGAAGCCGCAGGGCCGGGAAGGGGCGGCCGCTGATTGGCGGGGGCGCTGCCGGCGCCGTGGCACACCCCCGGGGAGGGCGTGACCCGCCCCCGGGGACGCTGCGATTGGCGGGGCGCTCGGCCGCGTCTCCCCGGAGCGAGGCGTGATTGGCCCCGCTGGACAGCGCGGGGCGTGAGCGCGGCGCTGAGGGCAGCCGCGCGGGTCCCTGATTGGCCGCGGCAGCGCGCCGCGCGCCATTGGCGGGGCGGCGGCGGCGGGCGGGGCGCGCGGCGCGGCGGGGCGCGGGTTGGCGGCGGCGGCGGGGGCGCGGCCGGCGGGTGCGCCATGGTGCGGCCGTGAGCGGAGCATGGGGCGGCGGCTCCTCCGGGCGCTCCTCTGCCTCCTCCTCCTGGCCGGCCGCGGGCAGCTGCGTGACGGTGCTGCCGCCGCCACCGCCGCACACGGTGAGACCGCGACCCCGGGCAGGGCTTTGCCCCGGGCTGCGCGAGGGCCGGAAGGAGATTCCCGGGGAGTGGCGGGGCACGGGACTCCGCGGCCGGTGCGGTCGCCGTCGCTGTAGGTTGCTGTCACGGCGTGCAGCGCCGAGTCCGGTCCCTGGCGGATAGCGGGACAGGGCGGCCCAGGACCGGCACCGCGGGTGCGCCATTGGCACCGGGGGCGCCCCTCTCCCAGGGCTGCCGGGCCGCTGGGTGTGCTAAACCCGGGGCACTCCGCCGGATGTAGAGGTGCCGCCCCGCCAGCCCCGAGAGCCAGCAGCTACGGGACGGGAGCAGAACGGTGATTGCTCATGCCCGGGGCAAAGCCGGTGCCTGGGGCTGCCGCACGGCTGGGGAACCCGGGCCAGCGGCCCTAAGCGTGGCTTCCTCCGAGACCATGCCGCCCTTTAGCCGCCCTCCGCCTGTAACTGCGGCCCGCCCGGGCCGGTGCACCCGCTCTTCTCCAGGTCGGTCCGTGTGGTCCGTGCTTGGTGCTCTCGGGGACTCGAGTGTCGCTGTCGGTAGCAGGGCTGTAGCCCACCGGCACGGCACGGCACGGCTCCGGCTCCGGCTCCGCTGACTCACTACCGAGAGCCCGAGGCTGCTGCGCCCCTCGTCCTCCAGCGACCCGGGAGTGCCGGGATGGATCCGGCTGCACCGCGAGGGCCCGCCGCCCCCGGGAGCAAGCAGGGAATGATACCGGGACGGCCGCGGCCGAGCACCGTCCTGGCCGGGGGAGCCTCGCTGGGCTGGGGCCACCGCCCCTCCCGGCGGAGCGCGGCGTCTCGGCGGGAGAGCGCTGCGCCGTTTCAGCACCGCGGACAGCGCCGGCCCTGCCGCCCCGGCCCGGCCCCCGCCGCCGCCGTCCCTGGCGTCTCTCCCGGCAGTGGGGTCCTGTGCCCGCACCTGCGGGGCCTCCGCCCCGGGGGACGCTGGCCCGAGGGTGCCGGGGTTTCGAAGACCCTCATCCCCACTAGCCCCCTTCCCCCGCAGCGGGCTTGATGGGCCCCTCCCTCCCCTCCCCCCGGTTGTTTTCTCGTTCCTTCCTTGCCATCCGGGGCTGAGTCATCGCCTGCTGCCGTCTCGCTGCTGACGGTCTTGGACCGAAACGGGGGGGGAGAGGAAGGGGGAAGCCGCCCCCTGCCCAAGGGCTGCCCGCCGAAGGGGTAGGAGAGGTACACACCCCACACCCCCAACACCACTACATCCATGCTTTGGGGTCCGCCTCGCAGGGAGAGTGGATTCTGGTGTCACTGGGTTGTATCCCTTCCTCGTAGTGCCACACGTAGGAGAGCAGCAGATGTGGTTTTGCAGGTCTCTGCCTCAGTCTCACCTTCCCAGCTGCCAGGACCCTATAAAACTCCAGGCCTTCCCTACTCTCCAGAGCCAAAGGCATACTTTCTATACAGCACCCATCTTGTCTCTGAGGGGCAGAAAAGACTGGCACCGAGCCTCTGCTATGGGCTACAAAGCTGTGTCCCCTCCCACCATCACCACATTGCATCCCTGTGCCGCTTTTCTGGAGCGTAGGGATCCCCCAGGCAGCTGGTGATGAGCAGATTCCATTGGAGTTCCCCTGAATGCTGTGCTGACTGGCCTGTCTGTCTGTCCCAGGCTGCCTGTTTGACCGAAGGCTGTGCTCCCCGCAGGAGGTGTGTGTGCAGGGTAAGTGGCTAGCAGGGGTGCAGGGATCCCCTCTCCCTTCCCAAGTGTGTGTGAAGGGTACAGGGATGCCTTGCAGGGGAACCTAGGGTGCAGTGTAAGGAGGCATGGCAGGAGAAAGGTGGGGCTGTGCCTGGAGATCCTCATGTTGGGTGTTTGTTCATCCAGTCCCGCTCTCTTCCTTCTCTTGCAGATGGGCTGTTTGGGCAATGCCAGGTGGGCTCCGTGCAGGACAGACCCTACTTTCAGGTCACATCTCCTGTGCTCCAGCGTCTGCAGGATGTCTTGCGGCATCTCATGGCACAAGGTGAGCGCGGGAGCATGGGGGAAGTCACTGCGACCATGCAGGGAGGAATGTCAGGTAGAATTGCCTAGTGGCCCTAGAACTGTCTGCGGTCCTGCTGGCCCAGGGTGGGCTGAGGAGGAGTGGGATCAAACCCAGGCCATGGGACACAGGGTCAGAATATCAGGACGGCATCCCATGCACTCACACCATGGTTCCCAGGCTGCCCTCATGTCTCACAGCCTCCCCCCATGGCAGGGCTCTCGTGGCAGGATGGCATCACCCAGTATGTGATCTCTCAGGAGATGGAGCGCATCCCCCGCCTCCGCCTGCCACCCTCGCTGGAGCCAGCGGCCAGGGACAGGTAGGACAGCGCCAGCAGAGCTCAATGGAGCAGCGAGGGCTTTCTCCCCAAAATGGGGTTAGGAGAGGGAACTCCCCCTTTACCCAGAGGAGTTACCCCAGTGCTCTTTGCCTTTGAGGTTCCTGCCTCACCGCAGCGAGCCCCGGCGAGCCCCAATAGCTCCAGACCCTGGCCTGCCAGCAGCTCAGCATTTGGAGCAGCCCCCAGCACTGCTGCTTTCCCCTCTGGTGCAGCGGTACCTGGAGCACGTCCTGCTGCCCTCCTCACCCCAGCTGGGCTACGAGGAGGCTCTGCTCAATCCCTACTCCTACCACAAGGTAAGCTGGAGGGTGAGCACCTTCTCCTGGGCAGAAAAGTAGAGATTGGCAGGGAGCTGCTGCACTCCCAGCACTTTTCTGCAGGTGCTAGGGTACCCCCTGCCTCCTCCGTGGGGTGACAGGGGACCTGTGGGGTTTGACATGTGTTTTGGTTGCAGTTCGGCTATCAGGATGGTGCTCACCAGCATCCCAGCGGCTCAGCCAGGCAGAGCTCTGAGACCTCCTCGCTGCTGGGCCGGGTCCCCGCCCAGACCCTTTTTGGGGCTGGCCCTGTGCCCTCCTATGGTGGGCAGCCAGGAGTGGATGGGGGGCATCTTTTCCAGGACTTGGGCATGCTTTCCCTGCCCAGAGAGAAAGCTGGCCGCCCGGACCCTGCCAGCACCAGGCTTCAGCACAGCTTGCGGCTCCCCAGTGACTACAGAAACATAGAGGAGAGGGAGCAGCAAGCACCCCTGGCTGCCCAGCCACCCTCTGCACAGACGGGTACCTTGTTCTCCAGCCAGGCACCAACCTTTGTCCCTATCCTGTTCCCACAGCCATGAGTTCCTTGTGGCTCACACTTTTCCTCCTCTTTGGGTTTATGCCCACGGGCAGAATATACCCTCAATCCCCCCTGCTCCATCTGCTTCATCCCTGGCCCCTGCTCTCCCTGCAGATGCAGAGCATCCAACCTGATGCTACATCCTCTTGCAGATGCTGCTCTGAAGAGACTGGCTTCTCTCCTGGCCAGCTATGGCCTGGGGCTGCCAGAACTGAGTCCCCAGCAGATAAGCAGCCTATCCACCCTCCTCCAGCTGCTCCAGAGCTCTGGTGAGCTGGGCACAGGGATGGGACAAACAGGCACTGGCAGCAGCAGGTGCTAGCATGCCCTGTTTCATGGTAGGGAGTGTTGCCTTTTGGGATGGGTGCTGCAGGACCTCTGTCTCTCTCCTTTCCAGGTGTTGCTGGCCCTGAAGTGCCCACAGCGAAACGGGTGGGTTTGCAGCAGGCTGATGCTGGAGGAGGTGCCAAGGCACAGGTGGGATGAGGGGGAGAAGACATTTCCCCAAGGCTCTCCTCAGAGATTCCAGCTTCTCCCTTTTCCTCCCTTCAGGTGATGGAGGGGGACATGCAGCATGGAGAGGAGCCAGTGCCCCCTTCTTCCACAATGCCACCCCTCAAAATCCCAGCCAGCAGCTCTCCAGGAGATGGAATGAAGGGCAGGGCAGCATCATCACCAGCTCCCTGGGCTGAGCCACAACAGGGACACAGCGGGGATGCACTCAGCCCTGGAAAGCACATTGTGGTGGAGAAGAAGAGCTACACAGAGATGAAGGACAGGGCACAACAGGGCATGCGACCACTAGACGAGTATGGCTACATCATCACAGACCAGAAGTGAGAGCTGGGGGTCATGCAAGGGGGTCTGCATGTGTGAAGGGTCTGTATCTCCCCACCAACAGCTGTCACAGCGTCACATGCTTGACTGAACCTGTTGGGTCTTTGGTAAGGTCGGGTTTCTATGGGGTCAGCTCCCACTGATCCATTCTCTATGCACAGCCCTTGTTCTACCCCAAAGTCTTCCTTTCCCAGCCCACACCAAGGCCAGAGCTCAGTGTTGCAGGATGGAAGGCTGGGAGTGTGCGTGCACAAATGTCTCTGTGCACACTCATGGGCAAGGGGGGCCAGCTCACCCCCACCACCCCACACTGCCACGCTCTTCCCTCCTGCCAAACCTGGCACCTGCTCTTGCTGTGTGCTTGGGACCCCCTGAGCCTGCCTATTCCTGTTCCCTGGCTGTGGGGAGCACCGGGCTGTTCTCTCACCCCTGCTACCCCCTCCTCACCCTGACACTGTCCCCACAGGCCCCTGGGGCTGGCTGCTGGCGTGCAGCTGCTGGAGCTCCTAGCCAAGCACCTCCACCTCTCCACCGCCAGCTTCATCAACATCAGGTGAGGGTTCTGGTGCCATGCGCTGCTGCTGCCTGAGCCCTGGCCATGCTCAGCACTGCCAGGCAGGGGGACAGGAGAGACTGGGCTGTGGGTAGGGGATAGGGAGGTCTGCATTTCCAGATCTCACACTGTGTCCCCCCTTTCTCCGGCAGCGTTGTGGGTCCTGCACTTACTTTCCGCATCCGACAGAACCCCCAGAACTTTTCACTGGCAGACGTGGCCAGCCATACTGGTGAGTTGGGCAGTGTCCCCCTGATCTTGTTCCTCTCTTCCCCTCCTGGCTGTGGAGCGCCCCTTCCCAGGGACCAGGAAGAGAGGGCTCCTGCTGCACATCCCTCTGCCTTTGGCTGAGGCGAGGAGCTGAAGTGAGCAGCTGTCAGAGCTGTCCCTTGGTTCTGTTTCTGGGGGGTCTCTTGTGTGGAGGGGAAGCTTTCCTCTGACCATCTCCTCCCT